TTGTGAAAAGAGCAGCAACAAACATGGATGTACAAGTGTCTGCAATAGGATGAGTTCTTTGGGTATATGCCAAGAAGTGGTATAACTGGGTCAAATGGTAGGTTCATTTGTAGTTTTTTAAGAGTTCTCTGCGCTGCTTTCCATAGGGGTTGAACAAGTTTGCAGCCCCACCAGCAGTGGATGAGTGTTCCCCTTTCCCCACATCCTCTCCAACATTTGGTATCATTTGTTCTCTTGATCTTAGCCAGTGTGACTGGTTAAGATGAAATCTTAAAGTGTTTTAATTTGCATTTCCCTAATTACCAGTGATGTTGAGCATCTTTTAAGATGCTTCTTAGCCATCTTTATTTCTTCTTTTGATAACTCTCTGTTTGGTTCCTTAGCCCATCTTTTAATTGGGTTACTTCCTTTCTTGATACTTTGTTTTTTGAGTTTGTTACATATTCTGGATGTTAAACCTCTGTCAGACATGTCATTGGTAAAGATTTTCTCCCATTCTGTGGGTTTTCTCTTCACTTCCTTGGTTGCTTCTTTTGATGTACAGAAGCTTTTTAGTTTAATGCGGTCCCATTTGTTGATTCTTGACCTTGTTTCCTGAGCAGTTGATGCCTAGTTTACAAAATCCTTTCCTACACCTATATCTTGTATGTTATTGCCAATGTTTTCTTCCTAATAGTTTCAGGGTTTCCAGTTTCACATTGAGGTCTTTGATCCATTTGGAGTTGACTTTTGTGCAAGGTGAAGGATAAGGATCTAGTTCCATTCTTCCACAGGTGGAGATCCAGTTTTTCTAGCACCATTTGTTGAAGATGCTGTCCTTTCTCCATTGTATGTCTGGTATAGTAAAACCCCCAGCATTGTTCATTGTGCTCAGGGTTGCTTTGGCTATCTGGGGTCTTTTGTGCTTCCATATGAATTTAAGGATTTTTGTTGTTGTTGTTTTTTTGAGACAGGGTCTCCTTTAAAATCTGGTCTAGTAATCCCACCAGCATTGCTCTTAGTGCTCAGGGTTGCTTTCGATATCTGAGGTCTTTTGTGCTTTAATATGAATCTTAGGATGGTTTTTTCCAATTCTGTGAAAAATGTCATGGGGATTTTGATTGGCATTGCATTGAATCTATAAATGGCTTTTGTTAGAATGGTCATTTTCACAATATTAATTCTTCTAATCCATGGGTGTGGGCGGTCCTTCCATCTTCTGATGTCTTCCTCAGTTTTTTTCTTTAAAGATTTAAAATTTTCATTGTAGACCTCTTTCATGTCTTTGGTCAGGTTTACTCTGAGATATTTGATTTTTTTTTGCAGCTATTGTGAACAGGAGTGTTTCCATGTGCTCTTTCTCTGATTGCTTGTTATTGGTATGTAGAAAGGCTATAGACTTTTGTAGGTTAATTTTGTACCCTGCCACTTTACTGAACATGTTAATAATTTCTAGGAATTTTCTGGTGGAATTTTTGGCATCTTTTAGATATAATATCACATCATCTGCAAAAAGGAATAATTTGGTCTCTTCTTTTCCAATTATTACTCCTTTGATTTACTGCTCTTGTCTTATTGCTCTTGCAAGATTTTCAAGCACTATGTTAAACAGAAGTGGAGGTAGTGGACAG